CGCTTTTTAGGCTCCTCCTCTACCATCACAGCCGTCATACTGTCCTGCTCCACGAGTCTCCAAGCAGCCTGCTCGAATGCCAGGCCTGCCAGTGCCGGTGGGTTGTTCAACACTAAAGGAAGGCCTCTATTGGTACTCTTGATAACCTCGGCATCCTCTGGGATTACTCCGAGCAACGGAAGGCCGAGCATTTCCTGTACGTCAAGCACTGACATCATATCCTCACCGCGAATGAGGTCCGTCCTCACTCGATTGACAATCATCTTAATGTCCCTAATGCCGTCGCACTCAAGAAGACCGGTGACGCGATCGGCGTCCCGGAGAGCGGTAATATCGGGAGTGGTAACGAGGACGGCTTCGTCGGCGGGGGCAATTGCGGTAATGAAACCAGCATCAATGCCAGCAGGGCAGTCTATGAGTACAAAATCCGGGTGTCCGTCCGTGCGGGAGCGGAGGGCGTCCACGAGCCATGTGATTGCCTTGGAGCCGAAGGAGAGGGGGAGTTTGTACCGGGGTTTGGATATGCAGAGGAGCTCAAGCGAGGGCCAGCGCTTGTCGCGGACGAGAGCCTGGTCGAGACGGCAGTCGCCGTTGAGGACCTCGACAGCTGTGTAGTTGACGCGATTTTCTAGTCCGAGGAGAAGGTCGAGGTTGCGGAGGCCGACATCAGCGTCGATGGCCACAACGGAGAAGCCGAGGCGGGCCAGGGAGAGACCAATGTTGGCGGTGGTGGTGGTCTTGCCGACGCCCCCCTTGCCGGAGGTGATGACGACCACGCGCGGGGTCTCACCAGCGAGCTGTGGCTTGCGGTTCCACTGGAGGACGGCACGGGGACTGATTGAGCGGCGGCGGGCAGAGGAGGGAGTCGGTAGGGTTTTCGTCGGCCATGAAGGTAGGGGCGGAGAATATGAGGATGGAGGGAGGCGGGTAAAGGATGAAGAAGAGAAAAGGGTATTCGTTGGGAGAAGAGAAACCATTGCTGCCTGCTAGGGTTTTTGTGAATATGCGATCAGCTGATGCTCGTTGCCATTCGAGACTGTAATCGAGCGCGAGTACTTGGATTGACTTGCTCTGCCAAGGCTTTTAATTTTTACGAATTTGAAGAATGACTGAAAATATTAAATTTGTAAATAATAAAATTTCAGGTGCTATATGTGTAAATAACCCTAAATTCTTATTTGTAAATTCTTAGCATTTTGGTTTCTTATAAGCCTTGAATTTTTCT